ATATTGTCCCACTGGTTTATCACCACACAGTATCTGCCATGGACTTGGCACGCCCTAGCTTTTTATATTCAGTTATGTAAAATTATATTCCTTTCTCCTCTGAATCAATGACATACTAGAATGCTTGCAGAGTGGGTAAAATATTTACAGATTTTTTTTAAGTTTTATGTAGAAACATGTAACATAGGTGTAAACAAAACCTGTCCATATATAGCTAGCTAAATTGATTAAATTCTACATCATTTCATCTCTAAAGCTTTGGGAAGTTAAGTAGTGCAGACTGGGATAGTTCTTCCCATGAAAATCTTAGCCAAACTGAGTGAGAGGTGGGAAAAAAAAAGCTCAATTACAGCTAATTACCAAATAGCTCAGTTACAGACACTTATAGTTAAAGGATTCTCAGTAAAGGCAGGCAGAGACTGCAAGTATTTTAAGGTATTTTCAGTTTCAATTTTATTCTACTCTTACAAGATACTTTCCACCATTCAGATTAATATATAATTAATATATTAATATAGCAATATATCAATATAATATATAATCGTATATTATATATATTTACATATATTTATATATATTTACATCATATATACTAAATAAGCTTTTAAGCACATGAGATGGGATATTATTACTTTTGCTGTGAATCTGGACTACCAGAGTCCCTATACTTGCTTTGATATGTATATCTTACATAAAAAGGTAAGATGAGGAGAGAGAGACAGGTATAAATGAGTATTATATGAAAGCATTTCACATTGTGGTGAAAATTTTTGCCCATCACAATCAGGGAAATTTTCTCTTTCACTAATTAGTTTCACTTTTATTCCCAAACTGACCTTCAGTTCAGAACCCTGATATTTTTTTTATCAAAATTTAAGCAGTATGTATAATTTCCCTTGCAACTAAGTGACTGGTAGAAATTACATCCTGGAATAACAGTATCAAACCACAAAAGTGTAAAATTCTAATTAGTAATAGAATTTTGCAATAATAAGGCTGTTAGGTTGTGGGTTTGCCTTCCAATACATTTATTAAGTGCTCATCACTCTACTGGATGATGTAACAGAGTAAGTCTGTGTTAGTCAATGAGGGGAATTTAGGGCTACAATGTCTGTCAGATACAAACAGAGTCTGTATGAGAAAAATTGTGGAAATGTTCTAGTGTGTGGTCTTGAAGAGTTCCACAATGGCATGAGGAGAAAAGTTGCCCTTTTTAAAATTTTTAGAATAGATGCAGTTCATATACAAGCTTTGAGTACAGTACATAGGCTAAGCTCCATGGAACAGATGAAAAAGCAAAGCTTTACACATGGTTGAAGGCTCAGAGAGGCAGCAGTGCTTTCATTCCATCATTTGCACTGCTTGAACTACACAAGTCTAGTTAGGCTGTTCAGAAAAGAAGGGAAAAAGTGGCATCAGTCCTCCCTTTGTCAGTACATTGATAAAGGATTACAGACAATCTTCCCTTGTTCCACAGATCCCTGGCCTTGTGTTGCAAGACAGTGCCTGTTTGTGAATGCAGACCTTCTGCAAAGTTCAGTCTATGCGTTGACCAGGGCTGAAGAAGGGGCAGTTCTTCACATGTAGCCTCAGGGGTGGAGTGGCAGGGCAGCTAGCCAGCATTCAATCCACCCCTCCCCCGGCAAAGAGCTTGCTACGCTTTTATTTGTTACTTCTGTGTACAAAGGGACTTGAATTAGCTGTCTGCTGTCTGAGACAATAGGGCCTTTATGAGTTTCAAAATGACCTACAAATAGTGCTTCAGTTCCTTCACCGATGTGTGGGACTCTTCCTCCCATGGAATATACATCAGCTATCGGTATATCCTGGCTCTATCTGAAGCAGCCCTATTTTTTGTGTGGTATTTATAAAACTACCCAATTTATAGACCACTAGCCAATTTATAGACACTTAGGTTCATCTCCAGAAACAAGGTGTCTTTCAAAGATAATTCAGAATGAACTCGGTATTGTATTACTTTCAAGCTATGTAAAGTGAAGAAAAGGGCCATGAAACCATAGCAGCAAGTGATCACTGGAGCAGCACTGCTGACACGAAATTGACTGTAAGCATAAAGACTGAGGGAAATTAAATTTATACCTGTTTGATAAAGAACAAGGCTATGAAAAGAAATCCTGTATGCAGGACATCCTGTATGCATTTATCTTCAATAAATGTACAGGAAGAATGAAGAGTTAGGGCATAGCTAATGTAAGGGAGACAGATACATAACACTACTACATTGGCATTCTCCAGAAAAGTGGTTTTACCTGTACAGAAAATTAAGATTTCTAGGGATAACATAGCTCCATTTTATAAGACATTACTAAAGACAGTGTCATTAGGTAAACAGGTTAAAAATCAGATGCATTCTATCTAAGATACTAGTACACAGTTTACAAGAATATCTTAAAGAAGAGAGAATTTTATAATTTTTTATACATTAAGGACTGGATGTCATTGCAATTCTTGACTATAACATACACAAAACTGTGTATTTTTTCAAAATATATACTTTTGCACTTTTCTAAAAGCACAACAGAATCCCTTGATATGGTAATGCTAATTACACTGAATGTTATTCTCCACAAGGAAAGAGGGAGGAAATAAAACAGTAATACGTCTAGTTAATTGGTAACCAGGTTTCAGCATCCTCACTGGTAACTTAAAAAGCAGATAAACAGCAAAGCTGAGATGCAGAACAAAGCAATTTTTTAATTCAAGGGTGATCTGAACTGAGATAAAAGTAGTAATATCTTAATGGCAGAAGCTAAGACTCCAGAGCCCAAGACTCAAAAGGCCTCACGCTGGTGAAAATTTCTGAAGAAGTCAGTATGTTTCCTGACTTTTACCAAAATAAAGACCATGTAAGCATTTAAAAGAAGTGCTAGGCTGCAAGGGAAAGTACTAAAAATTGAGGCTGTTAAGAACTCTTGGAAAGTGCACACTGTTAGAGTCACCTTTAAGGCATGTGCATTAAAGCAGTCTCAACCACAGGAACAGCTGTGTCTGTTCCCTTCAGATTCTTGGCCTCTTCAACACTCAAAACATAACACTCTTGCTCTGGACATGAATTAGGGATTGGTAGCAGAAATAAGAAGCACTTCTCGCCAAAGAAATCAGAAGACCCAAAAGCAAGTAGCTACAGTAGAAACAGGCAATAACTATAGCAGAAGTGAAGATATAAAATTTTAAAACATTTAAAGTATGATTCTTACTTGCCTCTGACAATAAAAGTTTCTATGCTCTGATGGGCAAGTCACCCAATCAACATTTCTGAGAGATGCTTGCTAACAGGCATTTTTAACTGCACATTTTCTAGCTGACCCACCTCATACATTTTACTTTTAACTAAGTACTTAACCTTTAACTAAGAACTAACCTTTAAGTAAGAACTAACACCTTTAATGTCGCAGTACATTATGTTTACAGCTAAAAGCAAAGCTGCATGGAGATGAGCACTTAACCTGTAGCATTCAATACACCTTGAACCTCATTTTGAAACAGGCACTCAAAGGAAGAATTGCCTCCTTTTCTAATAATTAGAATAATTCTTTTCAGTGTTCCATTAACTGAGCATCTAAAACCAGCAGTTTAGAGATGATGACAGCATTTATAATTAAGCAGGAGAATCAAAATAGAGAAGTACATTGAAAGCAAAGTATTTTTCCAGGGCAAGTCTTAGCTCTTAGCAACATTAATAGAAAACATTTAACAACAAACTGTTCAGTAGATCAACCTATAATTGATTTGATGAAGTTGTCCCCAGGAAGATATCTTCCACTAATTACTTAGAAGCAGGGAATACCATAAAAAGATGTCGTGAACTGGGTAGAAGATTTTTCTATAGCTAAAGATAATTTTATGCTGTGCTGATGTTATTTGTTTTTGACAACTATTAAGTGAGGCAAATTAAACATAAAAGGTTTGGTTTTTTAAGTTTAAACTGAAACACTATTATTGCATCAAAACCCATCATCAAATTTATTGAGAACTCTACTATCAAGATCCTTCTGGAGAAGACAGTCATAACCTAAGCAGTAAAACTATACATAATATACATGAATTTTCATTTGAACATCATGTAATGCATAAAATGAATGCCTGTGATTTTTACTCAGTTTTTATATACATTAGCTGGCTGCCAGCTATGTCCAGCATTTTCTGATGCAGTCCAGAAACACATTTTTCTTTTAAATCCTAGTGTTTTCAAATAGTTTTGCACAAAAAAGGTGACAGGTAACAGTAGCTTAGCTGCTATTTTTAGTAGCAAAGAGTTAAAGCCTTGAAAATCATCCTTTATTATAAAAAATCATAGCTAGATAATATTAAATCTTTAAATACGTCATCATCTACTACCAACTACTTTCCCATGGTTGCGCATTTACACACTGCATCTTGGCAATAAAACCCTCCAGAACATCATTCGTCTGGTTAAGGATCTCCTTGACTTCAGCATAGCTACTGTCAACCTCTATTATCGACTTCACCTGCCTGGAAAGATGGCAACGTGAATATTACCTGTCTTTCCTGAGATGGAGACAAAACCTGCTTGAAATCACAAAGAACTCCAATCTCCTGCTAGTAGTATTATTTAGATACTACTAATTTAGATTAGTGATCACATATCAGCAGAAAGATTGAGGAACACTGAAACCATGCAAACAGAGAAAATAAGAGCAGGATAGTCTCAAGCACTGAGCTGCATTTCCTCTTATTTCTGTGATGCAGCTGCCTAATTGCTCCACACTGAATTTGCCCACTGGGACTCCCTGTTGGCAGTTAAAATCTGGAAGGCATTAGATATTTCTTGGATAATTCTTCATTACTCACTTGTTTTTGGTGTGATTAAAATAGGACTGCTAAAATCCATTTCTCTGACTTGCACATCTAAATTCACCATTTATATGTCCCATTTATAAAGTACTGTTCCACTGTTGTGTTAGTTGCCTTCATACACAGTTCATTTTCACATTATTTAGGAAAGAGGGGTACCTTACCAGAAATGGTTCTGTACCGCTCAGATGGGCTGCTGACCTTTTGGCTGGAGGGAATCTGCTGATGGCATAGTGGAGGTGTTGTCACTAGAGGAAAAAGGGCAATTCTTCTTCAGTAACAGCTAAAATGTCAATAGTGGTACTAAAACAAATAAATAAATAAATAGAGACAGACATTTTCTTACCATATGTCATCTCTGTTGACAGGGGAAAAGCTGATGTGAATGTGACAGCTTCATTTCCGTTTTTCATTGTGGAGAGGATTCCCCCATCTATTTCATCTTGGTAATGTACAACGATCATCTAAAAGAATACACAAAAAAGCAAAATTACAGTGTGATAATTCTCACTTAACCCTATGACACAATGGGGCATTCTTCATCAAATTACAGAAGGTTTCTGTAATCAGATATAATGTGATCTACTGTTCCAGCAGAGAGATTTTGGAACATTGAAAACATGCAAACACAGAATAGACAAGAGCATCCTTAAAGACTGAATTGCATTTCAGAGGTAAATGCAGTTATTTGTTCTTACTGCCATGATGCAACTGCCCAATTGCTTCACATTATTTTTGGACAGAGAACGTAAGACTTCCTACTCGCCACTCACTTCAGTATTTAGTGAAAAATTCTTGATTGTTTACCTCCTTGGTTTTCCCTCCAGCAACTGGTGATGCTGGAATTACAGCCTGGTGAGTAGCAGGAGACTTCACCCATCCACACCTGTTAGGCGATGGTTCCCCAGGAACATCGTTGTCATACTGCCCAACGCTTAACTTCCTGAGCCTTTTTCCCGTTGCATCATCATCTTGCATACCTGTTGCTGAAAACAGGCAAGCTGATTAAGAAACTATTTTTTTTCAGTTACAACTGTTAAAACAAACTTCACTTTTGTGTCTGTACTGAATATAATCAAGAATGTTCAAACTGCTTTACAAAACCACATAGGTGGGGAAAAGATAACAACTGTAGTTTCTTTGCTGACACCAGCTGGAAAATATTTACAATTCCCTTTGTTCTAAAGGAGTAAGTAAAGCAGCATGTTTCTTCCTGATACTCGTTTTTGAAGCAATCACCCCCAGTGCCATCAGAAGAACAAGCCAGCAGGGGCCGCTATGGGCACTCCAATGAGAAGCCTCTTGCCATTTCTGACACACAGTGGCTCTTGACAGAAAAAAACATTGCTGCTGTCCACGGCTGTATTTTCTCCTCCTTTCCCCTCTCAAAAGCAGATTCTTTTTAGCTAAAACAGACCCTGACCCTTATAAACTCAGTTCATTGTACACCTTTTGTGACACACATAACAATCACACTTAATCACAAAAATTAGGTATTAGCTACACACAGAAGCTGTGATCCTTTTGAGGAACAGCACAGAAGAGTAAGCTAAACCAGCAGAATGACCTATATTCAAGGATATAAAGTATATAAAGTATTTGTTTCCAAAGACGTTATAAAGAGCACATCACTAGATGCAGAGCTATGATTAGCAGGATTTTATACATGGTCATCCACTCCAAAGGCACTTCCAGATTACTCCTGCAAGAATTGCTTTTTCTATCCTTCTTAAGTCAACAGTAAGGATCTGTGGAACTTACTGAGTAGTCACAAAAACAACCACGTGCATAGCAACTTTTCAAATACTCCTTTGAGAGCTTCTATGGTCTATATATATGCAAAAAGATCTTTGAGGATTAACTATTTCTCTTAAAAGAGCTGAGTATTTCCACAAGAAGTTACTTTAATTGTTTGGTGTCATTTAAACATTTTCAGTCATTTCCAACTGTAAGCATGTGTTGTTGAAGCACATCTCCTACACACCCCGATCATGGGGCCATAACACTAGGAGTCCAAAGTCCTTCATCTAACCCAGCAAGAGGGCTCAATCAGCAACTTGGGTAGAGAAAAATGATAGCATGTGCCTTATGCACACATCTATTTCCTAATCTGAAGTAGCTGATAGAAGCTAAGGTGTAAAATCTGGCATACAGCATAAAAGTCTGTGTTACAGACATTTCATCTTGTTTACACCACAGATTTACAGAGCATCAATGCACAAATACATAACTGTATAGTGGAACAGGTTTTTTTTCAAGCTTGAAACAGAGACAAGGATTTTAGACCAAAATCTATAGTACTTCAGTGATTCTGCATTGACATATGTATGTATCAACCCGAATGACTGGCTGGCAGGTAGTGGCTAAACCTAAAAATATTAATAAATCTCTTGTTAAACTACAGAATTAGACACTTCCAAAAAATCCATCTCTGCTAGCATCAAAGGTAGTGTTATAATAACTACCATTGAAGCAAATAAACAAACAAACAAATAAATAAATAAATAAATAGAACCATGTTAGTAATTTTTCAAAATTCCACCAATAGGGTTAAATTTCAGGGTCCAAACACAGCTAGTTATTAATTTTATCAAGTCAGTATTTATGAACCTAGCACATTTTGAAAAGGACATAGTTGAGATTCTGTTTTTAAGGTGCAACTTTGAAAACTCAAAAACTTTTTAAGCATATTTAACTTTTTTTCCCTTGACTTGAATCTTTATGAGTGGTCTCTCACTTAAGGAAAGACTATCTGCTGAAGACACTGTAAGAAAACTAGATTCATCACTCAGGACTTTCGAAGCCAGGAAAGGACATGAAATCACAAATATCTTTGAAACCTCTTACATGATACTAAAAAGTCACTGTGAATTCTACTGAAATTGGAGACATTAACGAATGTAGACTGAGATCATGTGATTCCAGCATTTACCAACTTTTTGCATTGCATTTCTTTTGTTGTTTGTAACTTCTGTAAAGAGAAATGAGTGGGAATCACTGCAGAATCTCAGACTGAGACCAGACAGACCCAGTCCCACCACTTCTCCACAGGGGGCAGCAGGAGCCAAGAACAGCACGTAAGAGTTTCACTTAATCTGTAACCAAGTTACAAAGGTACAGACAATTTATTTCAGAATATTTCTCTTAGTTAACATGACCTTGTAGACTACTTTATGATAAAGAATATCTATATTTTGGATGGGTCAAAACAGACCTTTAAACTTTAATGCACGTTTTGCTTGCGACACTAAGAGAGGATTTCATCAGCAGCAATATTGATGCACTCATGAAGCTTGCCATTTTTACAAAGTTAATGTAGAATTAAAAAGCTAAAAACAGGTCTCTCTGGGAAAATGGACTTTTTCCTTAAATAGACTGAAAGTGCTTTACATACCAAATTTCCATCAGATGCTGGACAACAGTGGGGAGAAGTTGACCTGATATATTTCAGTAAAGCTTAAAGCAAGTAACAAATCTAAGAGATTAAAATGAAGGACTGAGAAAAAAATTATTTCCACTTAGTTCAATAGTTTCAAAAATGTACTTCAAAGCTGCCTCATTTAATGTAAGAGACGTTTTAGACTTACTAATGTAAAGGGAACATTTTACGGTGTAACGTGTCTGTTGCCAAGACTTCCTAGAAGTTACAAAATTCATTCTTGTTCTTATAATTTAGCTTAAAGTTTTGGCAGAACTTCATAAATATCCCAGGAGCATATATTTATTTCTTGGAAAGCATTTTGTACACTCTCCATTCTCTCTTCTCCCATGTGAAAAGTAATTTTTCCCTACCAAAGTAATTTAGTTTTCCTTAATGAACAAATAATAACATTCCAAAAAACTGGGATCAGAACAACATCAGGCACGTACCTCTCAGATGGTTATGACCATGCAAAAAGCTACAGCTAATAGAAGCATGGCCAGTGGTTAAAGGTTAATCATTGTTTGGGTTATTTAACTGCTTAGCTTTCCTCAACTATTATTATAATTATTATAATATACTATTATTTATAACTACTAGAAAGAAAACACTAAGCTTAAAAGCTTGTCTCCAGTGGCTTGTCAATAATAGTGCTGTATCTCATTTATTAGCAAATTATCCAACTAGTTGTAATCATGATTCCTTGTTATAGCACTAAAATATAAATGTTTGAACTTGTAAAACTGATTTTAACCATTTAAATTTCAATCACCAATACCTGAGCAACTGTTAAGATAATTTTCTCTTCACACATATATATATATATATATATATATATATATAGCTTAAGCAATGTTAACTATATTACTTCATAGGCAGCTTCTCACTTAGTTAACTTCATTTATTGCCTAGCAGGATTTTTGGAATCTGCAATTCATTTCAATTGTAATCCTTTCAAAAGAGGGAACAGGTAACATCAATACATTCAAGAAAAACTGACAAACTTGTAGGTGGTTTAAGAAAATGACATATTGTTTGAAGAAACAAAAGGAAAACTTATTAGGATGTACACTTAATCAACCAATCAATACAGATTAACAGACTTTGGAGATAGATAAACTTTAATTTGCTGCTGTGTACAATCATGTTACATACAGAGAGGAAAAGACAAAGTGCTTGCACTTCAAGCAAGCTTCTTACCACAGCTCCAACTGCTGTGGAAAGCTAGCATGACATAAGAAGCTTAACCAGTTCCACTCACAGAGCAATAAAATGCAGGGCTCTGTTGTGAAAGGAATAGTGAAAATTTCCACAAAGCTGTTTTTCTAGTGTCCCTTTCACAGACCTCAGCAGAAGTCATGAAGGCTGAAAAAACACTCTGGGGAAAACTGTGTTAGCATTGCAGAAATTCCAGATGTCAATGCCTACACAGCAGTTCAAAAAGACCTATCAATTACTGTGAAACAAGGGGATTCAATCCAAGAATGCAACAAGGAAAAAGAAAGTCCGTAAGTTAACTTGTAACAGAGGAATCTTCAGGGACTACCCCTCATACTAAAAATGTTACCAAGAACACTATCCAAACCAAAAGTTATCTCCTTCTCTGCCACCATTTATCTTCTACAAAGTTTAAGATTTTTAAAGAAGGTGTGTAATGATCAAGCTTTCAAGACAGCTTTATGCTTAACCATAGCAAATCTACTTTAAGAATTTAGAATCAGCTTTACAATCACTATGACATACTGAAAGAAAAAGTATCTTCAAAGACAGCAAGATAAAACTTGAGCTAAACATTGTTGTGGTGGAAAAAGGATAATCAAATATATACCCAGTTGCAAAACAAAATCACAGAATATTCTGAGTTGGAAAAGACTCAGCAGGATCACCGAGTCCAAATCTTAAGTGAAGTATTAGGACTGAACCCATGATCTTGGTGGATTTGTGATGCAAGCACTAAACAAGGATCTTGATATGCTCAAACTTTCAGATTTCCAGATCTATAGGGACACTGTTTCAAAGGTATTAATTAGAACAAAAGCCAACTATGCTGTGCCTGTGATATATTCAATGCCTTAACCTTTCTAAAATGTAACACAAAATGCCGCTGAAGTCAGAAAATCTCTTTATTCTTGAAATATTATTGAAAAAATACCCAATAGTTAGCCATGATTAACAAGCACACTGATATTTTTAGCCTAATTTTTAACAGCTAGTAGACTAAGAGTGTAAACCCCTTATAAACAATTAGTCTAACAAAGAAATGAAAAGGTCTAAACTCTACCCCAAATTGAAGTAGACCATCGAGCATAGGACACAGCAGCTTTGCAGGTCTGTCACTTAAGTTTCATAGCCCATTTACATTGCTAAGAATGGGGAGCAAGCCTGGTGCAAAATCCAAGCTGGTATCTCTAAACCCTTAGAGAGAGTTCATAATGATGGTACACTCAGGCCCACCTGCTGAAAATTACAAGACTGGTAAGAATTCAAGGAGTAAGTACATGACATAAATTAAAAATTATTGTGCTGTGAAATATGTTATGTTATATATAATATATATAATATTCAATTAACTGTAGCTTAAAAATTTATTTTAGTTTAAAAACGGAATCTAGTTCAGCTACAACTTAAAACTTAAATTTCTACCTTTAATTCACCTAAAACCTCAAATTTACTGTTAACCACTGTAAAATTAATTCACAGGCACCAAAATTTTCCTGTGCAATGGAAACTACAAGTTTCATAGTGTACTGTACATACAAATAAGGCAGGTGAGAAGTGGGACAAGCTTTGTTTTTCTTTCACTTCACAACTTATTTCAGAGGGACTGTGTTTACACACAAAATAGCACAGTAAATGGGAACATCTATAACAGTTCAATGCTTTTAAAAAATATTATTTAATAAGATACGCAAAAAGGATTTCTTCCTCTCTCCTGCGTCTGCAGAGGCACTGTAGTATGATTTATGATACTGTGTCTTGGGCCATCTCCAAAGGTTTCTTTTTGATAGAGGAAAGATCTGTGAAGGTATTCCAGACATGTAATCAGATGCTAAGCCACCTTGGTTTTATTCATTTTGCATTATTGTTTTGAGAGAGGAAGGCTTTGTTTTATGCTCAATTCTGTGCTGAGCTGAAAAACTCTGAGTGAAATATAAGGCTGTATGAATTGTGTATCTGTGTTGTTCTTACAGTAGGTAGCCTAGGGAAGTTTTGAGATGGTCATTTCAAACACCATAACTCATGCATAAAGAAGAATTAGAATTACCTGAGAGCAACAAAGTAATTTTAACCTTATGGAGAATACAGTCCTGCTTTTCCTCATGCTGGCAAATTTAGATCGAAATGCATCTCTTGGTCACAGTAATTGAAACAGGCTGCCCCAAGTGTTCTGCCTTTGCTTCACTTCATACAATTCCTCACCTGCATCGTGTCTTTTTCTAAAGATGCAAACTGTAACATTTTAATAGTAAAAAGGTGGCATACACAGATGAGACATGTTGACAATGATGGTAGGTTATAATGAAAATGGGTAAAAAACTTTCTGTTCTCTACATTTATTAAATTCTTGCTTTTACAGTTTTGTAGGTTGAAGCAAACATTGATTTAGCATTCTTTTTTTACTGAATAAGCATAAGCCTTGTGGAAAAGATGGCTGATTTGAGAAAGGAAGTCTTACAAATATCTTTAGCAGTAGACTGAGGTCATGTGTTATTAGGCATAAAAGAATACACAGAAAGGGAAGTAAATGGGGAATGTAAGGCTGCAGAGGAAAGGTTATATACACATCAAAATTTCTTCATGCTACAAACTTCCTGTCATTTAAAATTAAGCACTACTGCAGCAACGTGTTACTAGTAAACAGCAACTTTATTCACTACCAGAAACTCTGGTACAAATCTGCATCACTCAGCTCATGTAGAAGATAAAAACTGGAAAACTCTTAATAAACAGCACAGTGATTCACGTCTGATAAGCAACACCCATGACACTGAAGGAGAGGTCATCAACCATTGTTCTGCATGGTTCATAAAGATACGTTCTAGCAAAAAGAAATTCGGTGATCCAAAAATGTTATGCACTTAATGCAAGACATCATTTCAGACAGAACTCAGAACTCTGCTGTATGGGCAGTCAGTAGTTTGTGCCATGTTGACCTATGCTAAGGATACATGTGTATAAAAACATCTAGGAAGAAGCATGAATGAAGAGGTAGTTGTCTATGTGTCAATCAGTGCAGAATTGGATGAGCAAACAAAAGCAAGAATGCACCATAATGCACATCCTAGCTGACACACACACATTTCATTCTTGTGCACATTCTTCTAGCTTTGCAGGGCACTGGAAACATGCACACACCTTTTAAGGTATACATTTTCTGCATCCTCATGCAGGAAACCAGGTAATTCCACCATCCTCCTATAATAGAACCCTCAAGTCAGAGGCATACACACCATGAATCACATTGATCCCATTCACCTCCAGCACTGGTTGCTCCTCGCAACAGAGGGATTCATGCAGAATGTCTCATTTGTCCCATCAACCTCACTCAGACTATTCAGTCCTGATCTGCCAAATCTCTATATCACAGGCCAATTCATTCTTCCATAATGTACTTGTTAGGTCAAGGACTGTTTAAGTCACAGAGTATAGAGCTCCCTCTAAAATCTGAATTTGTAATATTAGCCATTGTGAGCAACTATTGGTTTGGTTATCCATTATTAATGGCTATTTCTTCATCCCCATGGCAGCCAGCATTTATTTGTGCTATCAATTACAGCTCCTGTGCTGCACTAGTTTCAACAGTTAAGTGCCTTGGATGTTCACCTGCTTATCTTAATTCTATGAGTCTACTCCAAGGTAAGATAAACCACATTCAACACATTCTGGTGTACTACTCCCAGCTTTATGCACCAGCAAACTTGCTGGGGAATCACTCTACCCCTTCATCCACGTGTTTAGTAAGTTAAACAAGACTGGATTTAGACCCCTAAACTAGAGGCATCTGTAGACTGTGCCACTGACCACAATCCTCTGAGACCTGACATGCAGCCAGTGCTCAATCCAGTGATTCAGATCAGTACTGTATATAGGGAAAAACATTCCAGTGCTTCTCATTCCTGATATTCATTCAGGTAAACTGCTTTTTCCCCATGCTCAGTCATGCACACCATGCATGAATAAATGTATGATTCTGTATATTTCAATGGGGCAAGTTCAGATATATAAATAAATAAATCTACAGCACTTGGAAAATCAGTATGTGCTGGTGACCTCCTAATCTCAAAAGCAGATGTGGCAGCATGCCACAAATATGTGTTGTTTTACCTCTGGAACCCTAAGAAACTTTAAAATCAAGCTGCTGCTAGCATAAATTGAATGTTACTTGCAGAAGTCAGAAATGGAACATTTTAGCACCTGACATAAAGACAAACTTAAAAAAACTATTATTATGCTAAAGCTATACAAATTATTATTTTAAGTTTTGTTTAATTAAGGGCTATTCTTATGTTCCTGACTACTAGTCTTTCCTTTCCTACTGTGCCCTGATACCTACCTCCACTCAAATATCCAGGACTTTAAATGCTGTCTATATCTTTATATTGGATTCCCTTCAATATGGAAATTTAATTCCTTAAAACAAATCCTCTTCCAGATCATTCCCCAAGTACAATTATTTTCATTGGTCTTTATTTACCTGATGTTAAAAATGGAAGGGAAATTACAGTGACTCCTACTTCCTTTGAGATGACCAGAATCTGTGAGAAAATTTCAAGTATCTCTTTTAAGCATCATATATTCAAACACAGATCTGTAGAAGGTGTCATATTCTAAATTATCTCTTTATCCCCTTCACTAGGGTTACTGTATATAAAGGGAAGAGTTCTCTCCTGCTAGAAAAATCTCAATTTGTCCATTGGCAAATAACTTGGAAAGATTCAAGAGAATTACAAACTAATGCCACAAAATACATGTTGTGTATTTAAACAAAAGTAGCAGGGCATCTCACATTTATTCATCATGGATTTTTGGACTTCTTCGATCCTCAACTACCCTCCTAAACTCAGAACTGTGATTTCCCCTTCCCTACAAGAATCACCATCCTGGGTCACACAGGTGTGCCAATGAACAGGCACCACACACTAGTTAGGTACATTCACCATTGAATGGTTTAGCATATCCTACTGGGCTTGAGCTGAAGCAACTCATTTGTGTCCAGTGAGGCCATGGGCCCATCTTCTGTCATGCTGGCTAATAATCAAATGCTGGGAACACAAACTAGTCTTTTATTGCATCATGACTGGAAACAAGAAGAAGATGAAGATGGAAGCGGAGAAAGGGAAGCAAGGGTTTTGCCGGAGAAATTAGACTACATAAAATTTTCAAACATGACAGGACAGGCAAGATCTTATTTGTCTCAAATCTTAGGTAGACCATTAATAATAGGTTTAGTGGACTTAGCCAGAGGCAGACTCCTCATCCTTTTGCAAAGCTGCTAGTTCTAGTAGCATTACTTAGGCAACATAGTCAGCAAGTGTCACGTATTTAATTCCACCAGCTGTAATCATTTCAGAGTCAGAGATAACAAACAAGCACTGTGACTTGTAAATTTTTAAACAGAAAACTTTCCAAAAGAGCGTCTTAAAATACTTCACTGGGAAATTATTTGTGAAAATATTGCATAGAAATTTAATGCCAGCATCATTACACTATATTTGAAGATAAAGTTGTTGCCATTTTTCTAATTTAAATGGAAATAGTAATGATGAAAAACATATACCACTGATGCCTTCTAAAAATGTCTCAATGTACAAATTCTGCTCCCTTATAACTTAAATTGACAGCAGAAAAAAAATCCCAACAGATGATCTATAATAGGTAAGAACTCGCTGAACAGTACTTTTTTTCAAGCAAAAAGGCAAGTACCTGCAAAACTCACTTATCTTACATAAATTTGATTTCATATCTTGGATGATTATGTAAAGAGGGTATCACAAATAATCCCTTGTTAATCATTGTCAAAGTTTTTAAGTAATGACCTGAGGGTCCTGCTGTACCATATAATGAACACACAACTGCTAGAAAGAGTATTGTTTTCAGAAAGTATTACAGCTTACCATGCCCGGAGGGATTCCTTTTTGTGACCTCTATTTTGTCATGGAAGCCAGAACTACTGTTAAGCTCTTCTATGTGTGCATCAAGGCTGTTGAAGCCATTTACTTGATTTCTGTCACTGGTGAGAGCATTAATGCGGGTTGGGATAGGTTCAAATGTAGGGTCTAACTCCAAGATCAGCCTGTTCAATTGTTCAATGGACTGATCAATATCCAAAGTTGGAGAAGCTGGCAAGTCCCCAGCATTTTGTCCTAGATCCAGGCCATTTGTGTTCCTTTGAGGCATTGGCCTTGACTTAAAACTGTCAGCACTTGCATGTTCTTCAGCTTCTGCAGCACCCAGCATGCTTCCTAGCCCTCTCTGGACAGCAACTCTGCTGCTAGAGCCACGTGTTGGGGCATCTGGGACCTGGGACTGGCTCTGGACACTGCCCAAATTCTCCACAGTGTTTTGAATGCCAACCCTGATTTCATTCTCTGGGGCAAAACCATATTGGTGAGCAGTGACCATCTGCTGCTGGCGCACCCAAGTCTGAGTAGAGTAGTTACTTGGGCCATAGGCTTGTGGGTGGGGTGAGACAGAAGGATTCTGTTGCAGCTGCTCAGTTGACTTTGGCTCAGTGCTTCCAAATGATCTTTCATAGAGGGAATCCACACCAATTCCCAGGTCTGCAGCAAAAGCATTGTGATGCTCTTCCCCAGCATTACTTCCAAAGCCATCTGAAAGAAGTGAGTTCTGACTGCTCTTGTGGCAACTGAAGTTCCCTAGGTGGGTAGAGTGCTGCCCTTCTGAGGAAGACAAAGTCCCAATGCTGTCCACACTGTGAAGGTCATGATTAGGCATTTCATCATCCAGAATATCAGTCTCCCTATCCTTCATTTTGGCAACTTCATTCATGTGAATTTGAGCTGGCACTATGTGGCGAGTAGCACTGTACTTGCTTTGAGCATCAGTCATATCCTTGGTGGTGCTGACAGAATCCTCTAGACCAAAGCCACTAAGTAGCTGGTCCAGTTCTGCCTTCTCTTGTGGGCTCAGACCCCGTTTAACTCCTGGGACAAGGCGTTCCTCAGTCTTGTCAGTTCTGATGGAAGCTGTGGAGTGTCCTGAATCACTACTGACAGACAGGGTATGATCACTGTGATCAGGACTGCCTGTAACATGAACACCCTGAGGAACACCTGGGATGTTGCTGTCTGAAGAGCTCTTCTTTCTCACTTTTGCATACAGACTGCCATCAATGGGACCTTGGGTATGCAGCACTGTGGAGATACAAGTAAAAAGGAAAAGGAGACATAAGAACAAGGCATCACATAAGGGCTTTGACTAGTGTTGTGCCACTAGTCAAAGTATTGTTAACAGTAATGGCATAGTTTCTGCAAAACTGAATTGACTTTGTAACAACAGCAAACACCAGTGACTTTATCTTCTTTGATTTTACAACACTTTTCTTGATGGAAATGCAGTATGCCATTTGTAGCTGAAGATGAAATAAAATCCTCTCTTTTTATGCTGTTTTGAGTCCGTGCTTGTAGCTCCACAAACTCTTCATACCAATTTAAAGAATCCCACTATTACAGCACTAGAAATTTTAGAGGTAGCTACTATGTATTCCATTCAGAGCAAGAATGGGAGAAACCTACCAGCAATACATATACTTTAATACATATACTATGTAATTATGACTTCATCCATTTTTACTTGATGGTCTGACTATACTACAAAGAATCATTTTCTCATTTTCTTTGTAGTACAAGGAAAAGATAAGATTTTAATCAGAGCTACAGTCCTTGGAATATACATAAAGACTCTTCACAAAGGAAGGCACAAGTAAATGTTAAGAGTATGACATATCTACATATATGGAGGATCTGGTATGCATGTCATATTTTTGTTTCAAAAAAGGACTAATAAACTTAAGTGGAAGCCTCCACAGAAATAACTATACTTGCCTTAGTCCCATCTAACCCATCACACGTAACACATCACACAGGTTAGACCAACATGAGGTTGAAGTATGGATACTGAATTTTATCCAATGCTGAAAACGAGCACAATTCTATCTCTCAAGAAAAGTTTGATGAATAAATATGTCTTGTGTCTGTAAAGCCACGTAAGTAAAGTAAGTAGCTCCACTTTCAAAGGACTTTATGTTCATTTAACAGAATATTTATATTAAGCAGATATTTCTGAAAAACTTTTCCTACTCGAGTCTGAGAATGAGATTAAGAAAATTAAACCATTACAATTTAGGAACAGGAAGACTTTTTTCAAAGGTAACCATCAGCTATATCTGCTGTAGTTCAGAATCAAAAGCCCCATGCATTTCAACTATTAACTCTACTACACATTTTCAAAATGTACGTAAAATGGCATCATGATCATGAACTTCCTAATTAGTAAACTTTTTAGGCAATACCCATTTAGAAAAAGCATTATGCAGAAATTGTACTCACAACAGTAACAAAATTAATTTGTTTTTATAATGGCAAGAAAAGTAGTCTAGTTGGAAAAAGTTTTCATTATGAGACACACCGACATAGTTCCATCCATTAAAAGTCCTATATCCTAAAGTTTATATATGGTCTTAACAGATTTTAGCTAAACTAAAGGACAATCTTCTTTCTAAGGACTAGGAACTATTATTTGTCTGATGTTGATTTTTAAAAACAGCATATGCAAAACACCAAAATACTCCTTTTCAGAAGAAGTTATCAAACTAAGCAAAACAGAAAGCAACCCCCCTTGATGCAAAATTTCTATGTGGATCAAGTTTGATGTGCAAATTGCATGGTGAAAAGGGCTGCTATGCATGAGGCTGAATGTATACAGATACTTTAAAAAAATATTTATGAAAAAAGATGTATCAAAAACACAGCCAAAAGACAGTTTCTCGGGCTCTTTCATGCTGTGATATCTCATAAACTCTCACTGCCTTCTAAGACTATGAAGCATACTTGGTGTTTCATGTGGAAGTATTCAAATACAGTTACCACAATAAATTGAAGAATTCTTTAAAAAACAAAAAACTAACCAGAACTAGAAGTAACTATTAAGTGGGCTTTTTTATTGTATGCTTGGTTTTGAATTTAAAAACTAGAAAACGATACAAAAACCTGCTTTGTTTGGAATAGTTGTATATCCTGATACAACATAGACTTGAAAAAGTTATAGGTCTGAACTGGAATGCAGTGAAATAAACAGAGAACCAGAACACTTGAACTACTACAAAGTCTTCCTGTCTGACTGTTCTGATATTCAAAACTAGGCTCTATGCTGTAAAAATGCTGTCAGCCTAAATGCTGTAGTGGACTGACCTTGGCTCTCATGCCAGGTGCCCACCAAGCCACTCTATCAGCTCCCTTCCCAGCAGGACACCAGAGAGAAAAATAAGATGGAAAAGGCTGAGATAAGGCAGTTTACTAAGGCAAGAAAATAACGGAAGTTTGCACACATAAGCGAAGGGGGTCTCTACTTCCCAGCAGAGCGTAATGTTCAGCCACTTCCCATAAAGCAGGACTTCAGCACAACACACTGGAGCGGTTGCTCCAGTAGACAAACACTGTAAAGTAACAAATGCCCCCATTCCTCTTCCCTGCCTTAGCTTTTATATCTGAGCTGACATCATATGGTATGGAATACCCCTTTGATTAATTTGAGTCAGCTACTTTAGCCTCGTTGTGTCCTCTCCCAGCCCACTTGACAGGAGGAGGGGATGAGAGATTTGTTAAAGAGACAGCGCCAGTGCTGTGCCAGTGCTGCTCAGCAGCAGACCAAACACTGGTGTGTTACCAACTCTTCTCCAGCTACCAATGCAAAGCACAGCACTGGGAGGGCTGCTAAGGGAAAATTAACTCCAGCTCAGCCAGACCCAATACAATACCTCACACATTCAAACATTCTAGTATGCAGATTTGGTTCTCCTTGAAGAAATTGTAAGTACAAAACAACTGTCAAATTCTCAAGTACAGCCATGGAAAACCTTTGTGTATCTCCTTCCCTTAGCCCTCCCAGCACCATCACACAGTACCATCCAAGCACAGTGTCAGAATTCCAGACAAGACAGACACACTGACAGCAGACTACTGATCCAAGGGTCTTGCATGTGTGCGCTCTGTAAGATTCAGAGATAACCCTGTCCAGTACTTCTTCCACGAATACAAAATGTTCAAATTTATTCTGCATCTTGCTTGAAGTGATAGGCAATACCCCAAATATTTGGGAGTCTTCCAGCTGTGAACTGTACTGCTTCCACTCTGAAGAAGAGACATGAGTACAGCTTACTTAAAATTTCATTTAGAAAAAAAAAAGAACAGCAAAACTCACAAACAGAAAATTAAGTACTGCATTTATGTGTTAGTACAAGCCTTAGCCTTAAATGACTTCAGGATTCTCAGATAGCTTTTAAGTAAGTTAAAAAATATCTCTCCTGGGTAACCAAAATTTTATTGTATTCCATATCTATCTGTGCCCAAGACTGTTATTGTCTCCTTAAGACCCAGCTATGTGGCTGGAAACAGGGCTGGGGGTTGTCAGGGTTTCTTTAAAAAGTCAGAGCACCCAAGCCAGTTCTTCTTTGCCTGGTGGCTTTTGCTCAGGATGGAGGCTTCACTTGATCAGAGGTTGTATCAGATAGGTTTCTCTGGGCTCACAAAGATAACAACTAAAAAAGCTGAATTTCACAATCAGAAACTGTTGCGGAGTAAATTTTGCAAACTCTGTTAGCAGCACAAAGCCTGAGCCAGTCCTCGGGCTGGGCCACCCCGCATCTGTGCCAGGACACCATTTTAGGAAGAAGGACATCAGTGCTGAAAGTCTGGTCCCCTACCAAGTTTCAAAAATCCCTAAAGCAATCTCTTGAAATTATGGCTTCCCAAAAAGAAGTCTCATTGATCACAAGTAGGATGGTGAGCCTGACAAACATTACTTTTGATATTTACACTAAAACTTGAGGAGCCATATTATGTGTCTACAAATGAAATGAGAACAGAAGAGTTTGGGACCTACTGATTTTTTGCTCTAAATTTAAATACCAATATAATATTATTACATATCACAAGAAAACAACTGTGATTGTGGGTCAAAACAATTTACTTGGAACTAGACAATTTGCTCAAATAGATAGCCACCTTTTTAGGAAACAAAAAATACCACTCTGCATTATAAACAGGTAAGAAAGAATGAAACTCATAGCTAATATCCTGAGGAGTCTGGATATTTAAATTTTCAGCTTTTAATAGTGAAAATAAAATGCTTATTGCATGTGACAGAATTCTTTTCTAATTTGCACATTTGAAGGAAAGCATTCTTAGATTAATTTGGAGTTTTTAACTATCATCACAGAATATATCATAGAATGGTTTGGGTTGCAAAGGACCTTAAACATCAACTAGTTCCAACCCCCTGCCATGGGCAGGGACACCTTTCACTAGACCAGCTTGCTCAGAGCCCCATCCAGCCTGGCCTTGAGCACTTCCAGGGATGGGGCATCCGCAACTTTTCTGTGCAGCCTGTTCCAGTGTCTCTCCACCCTCTATTTATTCTTTATATCTCATCTAAATCTCTCCTCTTTCAGTTTAAAGCCTGTCCTGTCACTATATGCTCTTGTAAAGAACTTCTCTCCATCTTTCTTGTGGGCTCCCTTCAGGTACTGGAAGGCTGCAGTTAGGTCACCCCTTTTTTTCCTTTTTCATTTCCAGACTGAACAAACCCAATTCTCTCAGCCTTTCCTCACAGGATATAAGGAAACGCATTCATTCTTCCAACCAACTTGGTGACCTCCTCTGGTCTCGCTTCCTGTGCTGGGGACCCCAGAGCTGTATGCAGCACTGCAGGTGGGATCTCACCAGAGTGGAGGGGGTGAATCACCTCCCTCACACTGCTGCCCACACTGCATTTGATACAGCCCAGGATATATGTGGCTTTCTGGGCTGCAAGAGCGTGTTGCTGGGTCATGCCCAGCCTCTCAATGACCAGCACCCCTAAGTCCTTCTCTTGATCTGTTCATCACCTAGCTCATACTGATATTTGGGGATGCTCCAACTAGGTGCAGTACCTTGCACTTGATCTTATTAAACTATAAACAATATATAATAAAACTATAAATATATACAACCATATATATATAAGAGCTATATACATATGTGGTTTGTTTGTTCATAAAACTAGGACAAATGAACTATTCCAATACTACAAATCACAAAATACAAGGGTTTGTAGTTGTTCTTCTATTATATCTTTATTTCATATTCTACCTTTTCTT